GATGTGTACATGCATGTCCAAAATCCCAGGAGGAGAAGGGATTGCAGCACGCCCAATCCCCAAGTGTATGGAGAGCATGGTTTCTCATTTTCCCTCTCACTATCTCCTACTGTCTCTTTTTGGGGAGGCCCAGTGCACTACTGCAAAACTAAAAAAAGAAAAAATTAAATTCCACCAATAAGAGAGTTAGATGAGATTCAAAGATAGAAGACGTTGGATGTCCTCTTGAGTTCTTTGATTCGCTTGAGAAAGTGACGGTCCTCATTATTAAGCGGATTTTGCTTTTATGTCAGGGTGCCTTCCATCAAATCCTGTTGAAGAGATTTTTGTCTCCTTATTTTTATTGTCCAAGTTTCCCAAGTTTATTTAGTTGAAATGTTATGTTCTGATTACTTAGTGGGGCATAAACCATTCAGTCCTTTCTCCAAGTTTTGGTGTGTTACCTTGTTTGTTTTCTAAAAATAACTTTCATTTTCCAAAAAGCACTGTAAATATTTAGAATTTACAAGTGTGAATCTGTGAGTACATAGAAGAGGCAAAATAATTGGACTAGACAAAGTGATAATTTTTGTGGGATGAAATTTCTGAGTTTGAGGGGATAAGTGTGTTTAGTATGGTCAGGTGGTGCCAAATAGTTTCCAAAAGGGGTTGTGCTAAATTGCATGCCCACCAGTAATACTCCCAAGTTCTAGTTTCTTCACATTCTCAAAATTGCTTGTTATTTTTAGTTTATTTCATTTCAGCCATTCCGATGGGCATGCAGTGTTATTTTATCATGGTTATAATTTGCATTTTCTTATGCTCATGAGATTAACCATCTTTTTTTATTTTTTTCCTTTTGTTAAGAATATTTTGCTGCTGGGCATGGATGCTCACCAAAGAGACAGAAATATAGAAAGTGAGAAATCATTCCCTAGGGGGATGGCCCCACGGCAATCCCTTCTCTACTCTCCTCCTGGGATTCTGGGCACGCATACACCTATGCCCAACATCAGTTTCAATTGCCAGTTGACACTCAAACTACGGTTGGCCATGTGAGAGTCAGTGCCTTAACCATGGCAACACCTGCTTGTCGCAGTCTGGCCATCTTTGTTATCATTTGCAGTAAGATGCTTGTGCAATATTCTGGCTATTTGTAATTGTGTTTCGCGTCTTTCTCTAATAAGAATCCCTTTTCTGAAATACTTGAAAATAGCAGTATTGTAGCTTTTATATATTATGAAAATTTTAGAAAGTTTACAAAAATATAAATACTGAGATACCTTGGAAGTAACAACCAGGTCTAAACTTGAAATTCATGTATGTATTATAGATACTTTCGACACAGAGCTCACAGTATTTTTGTATGGATGCTTTTTTGTTTTACAGACACTTTGTACACACAGCCTGCAATACTTTGTATCAGAGTGCTTTGACTATGACCCATCACATAAGGTCAGGTGTAGAATTTCCCAGTTGTGGTGTGACATCTGTGCTACAAAGATTTCAGGTTTTGTGCATTTCAAAATTTGAATGTTCAGATTATGATGCTTATTTAGTTTTGATACAAATTCTTTTAAAAATTATATATGAAGTATCTTCTCATTACTGCCTTTTTGACTATATAAAATAGAAAACCTTAGTTGTTTTTTTTTTTTTTTTTGGAGAGGTTTTTTTTTTTTTTTTTTTTTTTTTTTGTGCGTGTACTTGCCAGACAGAGACAGAGAGACAGAAAGTGAGAAATCACCCCCCAGGGGGATGACCATGCCACAATCCCAATTCCTTCTCCTCCGTTCTCCTCTCGGGATCTTGGGCACATATGTACACGTGCCTGGAGTGAGTTTTAAGCAACCGGGTCCGGGACATGAACCACGGTCGACTACATGGGTGTCCAGCGACATAGCCATTACGCTAACTGCTGGTCCCGAAAACCTTAGTTTTGAGGAAGTTCAATTATCAGTTTTTTCTTTTATGGCCAGTGATTTTTACATTTGATTTAAGAGACCATCATTTTCTTCAGTTAATAAAGATATTTGTACTTTTTATTCTGGTGCAAGATATAATTCAAAATTTACTTTTTAAAGTAATTTCAACTAAGCACTATTTATCTTTAAAGTTTATGTATTCCATAAATGAGAGAGAAAAAAAGAGTAGGAGAGAGAGATAGCACCCCAGTAAGGTCTTGATGTCATGCTCTCCTTCCAACCTCAGTCAACCCTTGATCATGGGCAGACATGTGCCCTGAGTACTCACAGAGGTCTTTGGGTATGAACCCACAGCCTTTTCATGAGGGTCTGTTTTACAGAGCATTGCAGTTTACTGCTGTGCTACTATTTGGGCCCATGGCACTACTAAGTTATTCCTTTCAGCTTCTGCACTGAAGCAATATCTTCATAGTATAAATCTGGTTACTGCATGTCTAAGTCTGTTAATAGAATCTCTCATCTTTTCATTGATCTACATGTTTATTCTTGAATCAATACCAGTACTGCTTGTTCCATATACCCAATCATGTCATTTGTTAACAATGGCAAATGTACATTTCTTTTCTAGTCTTTGTTCATTAATTAGTTATTAATTAGTTCATTGGCTCAGACCTGTGCTACAAAGTTAAATGAATATTGCAATAGTGTTCATAATTGTCTTGTTTCTGATCCAAGGAGGAAATTATTCTATACTTCAACATTAAGTATAAAATATGACTATAAGCTTTAGATTTTAGGGACATGCCATTAATCAAATTGAGGAGGTTATTTGTCTAGTTAGACTTTACTGAATTTTTAACAAATTCATGAATGAATATTAATTTTTTCCATGTTTTATCATGATTTATTAAGATATCCATGCAACTTCCTCTTTTTGTGTAAATGTGATAAATTGCACTGAGTTTTTGAATATTAAACCAATCTAGAATTTTGCAATCTTGGAATAGAGTTCCTGGGACTAACCAAGTACTTAGTAATATATTGTTTCAGATTTTTATGTTCATAAAACAAATTTCCTTTCTTGTAATGTCTTTGTTAGTTTTTTATTTTGCTTTTAGGTTTTGCCCTTTTTCTATTCTGTGGAACAGTATTTATATGATTAGTTATACTTTTTTTCTTAAATTTGTAAAGCTTTCATTAGAGTAGTTATCTGGCCTGAAGTTTTCTTTGCATGACTTTCTTAAAATACACATTTTTTTTTTTTGGAGAGGTTTTTGCTATAGGACGCGTGCGCTCGCCAAACAGACAGAGACATAGAGACAGAAAGCGAGAAATCACCCCCCAGGGGGGATGGTCATGCCGCAATCCCTTCTCCATTCTCCTCTCGGGATCTTGGGCAAGCACGCACACGCGCCCGGCGTGAGTTTCAAGCCACCGGGTCAGGGACGTGAACCGCAGTCGACTACGTGGGAGTTCAGTGACATAGCCATTACGCTAACTGCTGGTTCCCAAAATACACATTTTTTTTTTAGCAGGTGTCAGGCTATGTAAATTTCCCATTTTTTTCCTTGCCTATGTTACTTGAATGGTATTTCTTTAGATGAAATTCCTTTTTTTTTTTTAATTGTTCCCTTTCTAAGTTGGAGATGAAAAAGAGTGGGAATCAATAAAATTGTGACTTCTAAGGAAAACATGGAAGCACACACGTGAGAGCTGGTGATGTAGGAGGCAAGTGCTGACTCAGGCAGGGAGACGTAGTGACAAGAGATCTCTTTTGGAGGATGTTTTGCACAAGATAGGACCACTACTCAGCAATTTGGAGGTGGGACAGATGTTTTCCTCTTTCCATTGAACTGTAGAAAGACAATCAGAGCAATGTAATGCGGAAGGAACTAATCAAATTGTCACAACACTTCAGCAGAGTGATGTCAGAAAACTGCCAACCATGTTTTGGGAGACGATACATCATTTAAATCTTAATATTTGGGGGTAATGTAGCCAGCTCAGATGGAGTTAATAGGAGGTGCTCAGGGTCATCTTCTGTCATATGGTTGCCCTGAGTTTGCTGCAGATATTTTTTCAACAATAGCAGAGGAAAGATGACCCTATTTTTTCCTTCTCCTTTTGGTTCAGAACAGATGTGTTTGTGCAAATAAGGAGACATTTGTCTTCATGGAAAGTCTAAACTAGCATTTAGAGAAGACTCTGCTTTAGGATTTTCTTAAAGATAGAATGTAACATTTCACATGTTATTCAATATTTACTGTTCAGCCTGGAATCTTGTGAAAGGACCAAGAAGTGTTGGTGAGGAAGAAGAAAGAGCACAATGAAAATCCAATTGAGCAAAGTAGAGATTTGAAGAGATAGGTACACAATGTTCTTAAAGTAATTCGTTTTATGTATGTATACTGACAAATTGATGTTAGCATTTTTGGCATGTACTAAAAACAATTGTACTCTGTAGTCTAGTTTTAACCAAAGGAGATTTGGCAAAGTTATTTATATAAATCATGTGTCCTCACTGTTTTTAGAGTGACCACGTGTTTGAATGAGGGACAGAGCATACATCTCAGCCTTACGTTTTACATTGGTGCTGAATGGAGTTTCCTCTCTTACCTGAGAGCAATACTATTCTATCCAGTGTTATCATTTACCCACTTAGATATATAGGTATGTGTGGACATATTTCTGAGAAGATTCCTGTTTTTGTTCTTTTCATATTCTTTTAAATGGAATGTGCAAATCCCAATTTACAGGCATAAGTAATGAAGAAAAATGAGAACAAATGCAAAGCATGTTGAGATGAAAGACAAAGTTTATTTTAAAATAACATCTTTTAATATCAAAGCTGATGAGCTAAAATTGATGGAGAAGTATTGTGTCAATTATAATATTTTAATGAATCATGAGATATTACATGTGATTTTGGTTGATCAAGTTGAAGCTTGCTGAATCTGAAGTATTCAATCTCAAGATGAAGTGGTCTAGGATGAAATGATCACTTTTGGGAAAGAGAAGTTACTTGTTGGAAGAAACTTAGAAGGCTAGTAAAGAAATATAGGGGGGGAAATTCTATAGATTGGCTCTAGATGTTTCTCAGTAAAATCCGTAGGACCAGTATCTCCCACAGCATGATGGGCGACAGCAACCATATCCACACCCGCCATAGCCACAGCCATAGCCACAGCCATAGCCGCAGCCATAGCCACAGCCATAGCCACAGCCCAGGCTGCCATAGCCATAACCTAGGCCAGCATAGCCACAGCCACAGCCCAGGTTGCCATAATAGTTGCCGTAGTAGCACATGGTGTTAGGAGTGGAAGGTTCAGTTGGAGAGCAGGTTATCAGTGTCTTCGTTGTGAATGTCATCATCTCTACAGGGCTTTATATACACCTTCAGTGGTGGTGGGGGGAAACCACAGGTAAAATTAGCTACATGTTTTACATTAATTTGCATTTTTAAATTTCAGGATCTATTGTTTATTAGGCAGAAAGAAGCCCTCATAACTAAGAATCTTTTGCTATTATGTCAGGATTCCCACAATCAAACTAGATACCTTTAACAAGCAACCTCTGTTAAATTTGGAAAGCCCAAATATAACACCTGGTATGTTTTTATTAGTTTAACATCTATGGCATGTTTGTATGGGAAGCTCATTGCTCTCACGCCCTTAATTATTATTATTTTGTTATTATAATTTTTTATCTCACAGTGAAATGGGAGGTTAGATTTATAAATGTCTCCTGTGGGCATGTGGGTTCATAAACTGGAGACATTCATGAAATCACAAAATGCCAAATTGGCTATTTATTTTTTTTCAAAGGTGAATAATTATTTACCCCAGATATGCATTACTAGTCATAATTTATTTCTGAATAACTGCTTGTTTATTTCTTTGTTGCATTAATGCTACCTCTTCTTTCAACTTGAAGCTTGATATTATTCAGTATTCTTGCTGTGGTCTAGGGAATTTTACCATTGGCCTATGGAATTTGCTATATACTAATTCAATATTTATCTTTAAATGTGTAAATTAAATATCTTGAGTAGATATGTGATTGTAAATTTGTGTGTCACATTGTTGTCAAAATTTTCTCTTCAAGATTTAAATACTAAAGAAATTTCAGTTCATATTCAAGTATAGATGTAAGGTCTTTCTAACTCTCCCCCTCCAGAGTGCAGATTCCCTTCGTCCATTCATTTGGCTTTATAAGTAGTGTGATGTTTACAGAAAATATATGCAAATCCCTGGTCCAGTACTAGACCTGACTCTTAGTAGAGAGGTAACATCCCCTTAGGTAAGGTCTGGAGTCTTTAGTAAGCATGATCATGCTCCTTATTCTTCTTAAAATAAATATTCTTTTTAAAGAGTTTATTTATTATTTCTTCCATGAGTGAGAGAGAAGAGTGGCCATGAGACAGCACTCAGAACAAGATCTAGACCCTGTGATCCATGCCCAGCTTCAGCTAGAGCCAGATCATGGGCATAATTATGCCTAGCATATTCAGGGAGATCTCTGGACCCAAACCCAGGACATTTCTTGATAGTCAACATCACAGAGCATCATTTAACAACTGAGCCACCACTCAGTTTGCAAATATTCTTTAAAATTTGTTTTGTTTTTATTTATTTATGTAATTTGAAATAGTGGTGTTGGAGTAAGCGAGGCACTCCCCCACCCCTAAACAGTGTTTTCATGCCATGTTTTACCCCAGCCTCAGCCAGCCAGGATTACAAGCACACAAGTACATGCCCTGTGTTTATAAGAGAACACAGGACAAGAACCTGAGATCTTCCCACATGGTCTCAGTATTGCAGATTGTTGCATTACCACAGTGCCACCATGGCTGGCATAAAATGATTATTCTAGACTTAAGAATTTCAATATTCCAGGGCCAGCAGGTGGTGTAGTCAAGATGCTGGCCTCCCACTTGGTCAGCCATAGTTTGAGTTCTAGACCTGGTGGCGTGAAACTCACTCCAGTTGCTGTACGTGCATGCCAAAAATCCAAGAGGAGAATGGAGGAGAAGGTAGTGTGACATGGCCATCCATTCTGGGGGAGAGGGTGTGATTTCTCACTTTTTCTTTCTCCATCTTTCTCTGTCTCTCTGGAATGCACACACATCCGATAGCAAAAGTCTCTCTCCAACATAAATAAATCAAATAAAAAGAATTTCAATATTCCTTGAATACATTTATAGACACAAGCATGCTGTGAAAAATACATAAGAACAAAATGAGGACTGCAGTTTCATTTTGCTTTTCTCTTTTAATTGCAAGAGGGTACATGCACACTTAGAGAGAAAGAGAGAGGAAGAAGGGTCTCAAAGTGGGGAATAGGCATGCTATAATCTCTTCTCTTCCAATTCTTTACTCTGAGACTTGGGGCATGCATGTACATACCCTAGCATATTTTTGAAGTTGACAGGGCCAAGATCTGAACCATGGTTGTCTATGTGGGATTTGGCTTCCTTAACCACTAGGCCATGAGACTGATCCAAAAGAATTGATTTTTCTATTGACAATTATTCTTTCTCTTCTCTTTAATGTGTACCATGGACAGGCATTTACATTTTCCAAATTACTTCTACAAAAGTTCCCTGTAGGTTTTGCCAGTGATAATCTTTTTAGCAAGACTGATACCTGAAAGAAAGTCAGAGTCCATATTATTTCACTTTCATTAATAAAAGAATGCGTGGCTTTTGGCAAATGTGACTTTTTTGTAGTATGTTCTTTTGTATTTTTATTTTTCATTTTCATTTTATTTCAAGTTATTTTATACATTCACTTATGTTATTTAGCTTGCAAAGTAAATATTCCAACATGTGTACATTTCTCTCAAGTCCAGTTGATACTATAAAATTATCTTCACCAGATTATACACCATTTCTTTGTTCCATTAATGACTTGCCTCTCTATTTTTATCCTTAATGCCTTTCTTCAAACTCTACTTCTTCACCCACCTTCTTCCCACACTGTATCTGGTATTCATAGCCATTTACTATGTTTCTATATCCTTTAGTCATTCAGTTTTGGTCATAGAGTGAGGACACTCAGTATATATTAAGTGGAGACATACAATATCTCTCCTTCATAGCCTGACTGCTTCACTCAGCAGTAAATCTTCCATATTCATCCACTTTATGTCAAAAGCCAGGGTCTTGGGACCAGCAGTTAGCATAATGGCTATGTCACTGGACTCCCACGTAGTCGACCGCGGTTTGAGTCCCGAACCTGGTGGCTTAAATTCACACCGGCTGCGTGTGCGTGCATGCTCAAGATCCCGAGAGGAGAATGGAGGAGAAGGGATTGCGGAGTGGCCATCCCCCCTAGGGGGTGATTTCTCGCTTTCTGTCTCAATGTCTCTCTCTGTCTGGCTGGCTAGCGCACTCGCCCTATAGCAAAAACTTCTCCAAAAAAAGAAAAGAAAAAAAATAATGCACTGTATTTTACACACACATTTCTTTATATGTTATTTTTGGGGTATATATCACATTATGTGATCTATTTCAGCTCTTTGTGTCGATTTTTTATTACGTCGGGTATTTGGGTTGGTACCATTTCTTAATAATTATGAATAATGCTCCAATAAACATAGATGTGCAAGCACTTTTCCAATTCAGAATTCTTCTGTCCTTTGGGTAGATACCAAGTACGGGGATTGCTGGATCATATGGTAGTTCTATTTGTAGATTTTTCAGGAATCTCCAAATTGTTCTCCACAGTGGTTAGACCAGTTTACATTCCCACCAGCAGTGTTCTTTTGAAAAATGAAAACTTGTGGCACATATACTCTATGGAATACTATTCAGCTGTAAAAAAACAACAACAAAACCCTGGCTTTTGACAGAAAGTGGAAGACTATGGAAGACTTACTGCTGAGTGAAGCAAGCCAGACTATGAAGGAGAGACATTGTATCTCCCCATTTAATATATACCGAATATCTGCACTCTATGACTGAAACTGATTGATTAAATGATGTACAAACACAAGAGATGGGTGTGAATGGCAGACGTGGTGTGCGTGGAGGAGTGGGGCCTGGAGAAGTACATTTGGAGGAGGGGTACGGAGGCAGAGCATTGATGGGATGGAGAGGTGTGGTATTATCTGCTGAAGATATTTTGATCAAGTGAACTGGAAAGAAATGTTCACATGTTGAAATGTTCACTACGTAAGCTAAATAATGTGATTTGATGTATAAGAAAATAAAATTTTAAAAATAGGAATGATAATAATAAATTTTAAAAAATGCTGACCTGCATATAGAAGGAAACTGGGACTCTGTGTCAATTTGTTATGTTTTCTGAAACTTCCGGACTTAACAAATGAGAACAGTGAATTTGAGTGATCACATTCAAATTCACTGATTAGGAGTAGTGATTAGGAGCAGGATGAGGAATATAATCAATGTAGAAGTGAATAGAGATTGTATCAGCAATGAACATTGATTACATATTGAAGAATGATCAAATAAGTAAATCTATTTATAATTAAAGTGTATATACTTGAGGTGTCTAACTAGAGATTTTTAATATAGTATACTTTGTGTAATAATAATCACAATAAAGCAAATTAATGTATCTATCACTTCACACAGTTTCAATTTCCTTTCTTTTTATTGTGAATACAATTAAGATCTACCTTCCTAGCATATTTCAAGTAAATAATACAGTATTCTTAACATAGTCAGCATGCCACAGAACCAATTCTTCTGCATAACTCCAACTTTGTACTCTTTGACTAGTATCTACCATTTCTCACCTCTCTCATCCTCTGGTAAACACATTCTATTTTCTACCTTGAGTCTGACTATTTTAGATTCCATGTAAATTAGATCATGCAGTATTTGTTTTTCTCTGTTTTACTTCAGCTAACATAATGTTCTTTAGATTTATCATATTGTCAAGAATGACAGGATTTCTGAGAACCAGCAGTTAACGTAATGGCTATGTCGCTGGACTCCCACGTAGTCGACCGCGGTTTGCGTCCCGGACCCGGTGGCTTAAAACTCACGCCGGGAGTGTGTGCATACGTGCCCAAGATCCCGAGAGGAGAATGGAGGAGAAGGGATTGCAGCGTGACCATCCCCTCTGGGGGGTGATTTCTCGCTTTCTGTCTCTATGTCTCTCTCTGTCTGGCGAGCGCACGCGCCCTATAGTGGAAAAAACAAAACAAAACAAAACAAAAAACCTCTCCAAAAAAAAAAAAAAAAAAGACAGGATTTCTTTCTGTCTCTCTTTTCATTCATATTTTCTCCTTTCTTTTTCTTTCTCTTTCTTTTTCTTCCTTCGCCTTCTTCTCCT